GGGTGTCCTGGAGCTCTCAGGTCAGGTCCGGAGCCGGTCCAGTATCTTCAGGGGAAGGAAAGAAAAAGGGAACAAAAGAAAAGGAAAAGAAATAAACAGCGCAAAAAACAGAAAGCAAGCAAGCAAGCGGCTAGCCAAGCCAAGCAGCCAAAAGCGAAAGTGCCTGGTCACACACTCCCTCCTCTCTTCCCCGCCCCGCCGCAGCAAGGCGGCCGGGGGGGGGAGAGAAAAGACACAGCTGCCAGACACAACACACGATATTGGGATAAAGGCTGTCACCCCACGACAAGATCACAGCCACAAAGCAAAGCCAGAATTCTTGTATCTTAGTCTAGCACATATAGGAGAGACAAACTTTTACCTCTTTGGCGACATACCTGCTTCCCTGTTGCTGTTCACACACTTCCAAAGGTGTTTTTTTTTTCCACTCTCCTCCCCAAAGTCTGAAGCATGGGTCTATGTATGCTAAGGATAATGTGTGTGCCTGTTTCTCTCAGATGTGTCCTCCTTATTAGACTCTGTGAAATACTTGGGCACAGCAACATGAACATGTAATTAAGCCACTGACTCCCACTTCTTATTTAAAAGAATGCAATTTAAAAGTACATGCCTTGAATTTTAAACTGAAACATTTCTATAAATATATAATATTTTTGTACGCACATACACGCACACTCACTTTAAGCAAACCTTCACCTTCACACAAGCTAGAGTTTGCCATATTTGCCTTTTCTGTTCTGTTTCTTTGGCTGCCCTGAACACCTCACAGCCTGGCTTTCAGAAGCTTACACAAAAATTTGGGCAATTAGACTTTTCACATGAATTCCCTTATGTCACTAATCTTGCTTTTAACCTGCTGGATTGTTCCTGGAAAAAAATGTTCCCTTTATGTTTCAAAGCTGCAAAATTTTAGATTCCTCCAGAATATAAGAGAGACCATCTGCCTTCTCCTTCTTGCACCATGAGACAGAGACACAACTATTCCTGTACAATTATATTATTAAATGGCTCTTTTTGGCCTATCTACACTTCTTCGCAGTGTCAGTGGGAAAAGCCATTTCTTTCCTAACATTAAAACAGCTGGATGAAGTAATTTGGTCAGAGCCATTGAGTCATCTCTGTACAAAGGGATGAAAGAGGGAAACAAAGGCAGGCTCTTGGAAAATGTCGTGGAAATGTCATGGGCTGTCACAGTCCCAGCTTGGCCATAGCAGTAGTGGGAGTAATGGTGCTCACACAAATGGTACTTTACACTTTTGAACCTACAGCAGCACCCAAGCTGAAACCTTTGTGTGAAAAGCTTTTCTACACCCCAGCCTAACACCATGCAGAAGAGCTGCCAGCTCAGGACCAGCTCCCCTGCTGATGAACCCTCTCTGGCAGAGACAAGGCCTTTGTGGTGCTGTGACAAATGTCCTGCTCGAATCTGAGGAAGTCAATGGAAGCTTTCCAAGGAGCCATAGAGAGATCTCCTGTAACATATGGGCATGCTGACAGGGACTGTACAGATATCCTCAAATTCCAAAACCTGAGGTCCCTGCCAAGAACTGATCCCTATTACTGGGCCAGATGGCCAGCTTTTCTCATCTGCAATTCCTCTTATTCTCTGACAGCTTTTAGTAGGTCAATTGCCAGATAATATTCCTGCAATGTGTCAGGCCTCCTTTGACAACACCAGTGTCCAGCAGAAGCCAAGCATCCACAGATCTGATTGCTGCACTTCCATGCCAAACTGGGAGCTGGGCTCCCCAGAAAATACAACCATCCCAGCAATAGCTGTGCTACTAAAAATGTTCAGAGGAACCTTAATGGTAAGAGACCAGTAGTTATTTGATTCCATTTTACTGGCAGGTACCAAATATACCTCTCACCTCCTCAAGCACTGCTGAAAGCAATTGTTCTTTGCTTGTTTGTAGATGATGAGTGGCATCTATCATCTTATCATCAGATAAGCCAGGAAGAGATCAAGGCTGCTGCACTTAAGCTCTCGGCTCCCTTAGAACTTTTGTTTCTTATGGTCTGTGTACTGTAGATGTAACACTGTCACAGTTAACAGATTAATGACAGCTTGAAGCGTAAGAGAAGTGGCTAGAGAGGTGCAGAGGACCTGGCCATTTGCAAAAATGATGTGGTGCATGAGATAGAAATTGAAGGCACTGCTGTCTGTTTTGATCTGCCATTCCTCAAGGCCTGTCAGTGAAGGTACAGACCTCTTCTGTCCAAGGAGATGGAATTTAAGCACTATTGGAAAAGTAAAAATGCACAAATATTCAGGGTGTAACCGTGACCAATTAGGTAACTAATGGTCACGGTTACAGGAAACTGCAGAGTTAAAACTTGAATGTATATTTTGTCATAGGCTGGCTTGTTTTTCTCATCAGAGTGTAGTTCACTTTTACAGGTTGTTCATAAATCCCTGGAGATCCATGAAGCACAGTTTGAAAGCTAATGAACTAAGAAATGAGGGACACAGCTGTGGCAGGTGAATGACACTTTCCCCGTTTTGTTTGAACTAAAAGGATAAGACTATGCTACCAGTAAAGGGGCTGTGAACTCAATATATATTCACTACAGATATTTCCCCAACTTCTGTCTTGTTTCTCATGTTTATTGATTTTCCTCTGTCCCATAACATGCACAGCCATTTCACCTGGCTGCCTCCCTGCAGGGCAATCCCGTGAGAAAGCAGTGCTCCCTCTGCTGCTACCCAGCAGTCAGATCAGATGGAACTGGGAGTGGAGAGCAGCCTGAGAAGAGATCTGCAAGGTAATAGCTAAACACAGAGACTTAAGGCAATGACTTTGGAGAGCCGTCTGTGATTTTGGTAGGTGTGACAGGGGGTTGAGGTGCCCCAAGAGAACCAGGGCTTGTGATCACAAGAGTCTGTCTGTCTATAGAGGGACTCATCCACTTGGTCATCCTGGTGCAGTGGCCTGTAGCAAACCCCCATAATAAAGTCACCTGTCCTTGTCTTCCCTTAATCCTGATTCATCATCTGTTGGACAGCTCCTCATCCAACGCTGGGCAGAGCTCCATTCACTCCAGCTGGTCACTGGCATAGAGAGTGACCCCTCCTTATCTCCCCCACCTGCCCTTGCTAAAGATTCTGTACCCTTCCATTCCACCACTGCAGTTTCAGGATCCACCCCAGCACATTGCCATGATGCCAAGGAGCTGCCAGCCCTGCAGGTGCGCCTGTGACTCCAGCTTCCCATATTCATTCCTCATGCCATGGCACAGAGGCAGGTAAGTTGGACTCTGATGAAGGCAAAGTAGTGGCTGGAGTGGCTGGAATTCCTTTGTGCTGCCATTCAGGTGCCCTCCTGCTGATCTGTGATCCCTCCCCATATTCTGGGCCTCTCTTGCTAGCCCTGGCTTTAAACTGAAATGCCTGAAGTTCCCATCCCACAGCAGGTTTAAATTAAGGCCCTTAACAACTTGGTGAGTCTGTCACTGAAATTCCCTCTCTGTGTCAAAGGACCCCAGCAGTCCCAACAGGTTTCTGCAAGTACCTCCTATGGTCCAAGCTGCATCCCTGGCTGTGGCACCAATCCTGTGACCATTTGTTGTTTTGCCAGATTTCAAATCCCCTTCCCTTTGACTGGAAAGGCTGGAGGAAAAGCTACCTGTGTTCCAGAAGATGATAAAGGGATTTGAACATCTCTCATGTAAGGAAAGGCTGAGGGAGATGGGGCTGCTCAGCCTCAAGAAGAGACGGCTGAGAGGGAACCTGATCCATGTCTGTCAGTTTCTCCAGGGAGAGGTTGGGGGAGGGGCCTGGGGGATGGATGGGGATGGACATGGGGTCCAGCAGTGGGACAAGAGGAACAGGCAGGAGCTGATCTCTGGCAAGCTCCACCTGAATGTAAGGAAGAATGTCTTCCCTGTGCAATGACTGGGCACTGAACAGATTGCCCAGAGATGTTGTGGAGTTTCCCTCATTGAAGACATTTCAGAACCTGGGCACAATCCTGCAATGTGTCCTGGAATGACCCTGCTGGAGGAGGGACTTGGAACTCACTGTGGTTCCTTCCAAGCTGTCTCATTCTGTGACTGTGCCAGGCCTGTCTTCCCAGGAATTCAGGTGTCTAGGCCATGTTTTACAGGAGCTAAAGGTACCCACCTGAGCTGGGATTAGACAAAACTGGAGCTGCAACAGCCTCACCCCTGCACCTATACAAAAGAGGTGTTGGCTCCCTCAGTCCCTGTGGGCTGTGGATTCGTGTGACCCCTGCAAGCCCACCAAGCTCTCCTGTGTGGCCG